TATTATTATTAATATTATTATTTGTATTATTGCTATCATCGTTATAATAATAATTATTATTATTACTGTGAGAAACGTGTTCTTCAAAGCAAAACATAATTCCCCGATTTACTTTTATACGCCTTTTGTTCCGTTACAACAAGAATGCGATCGTGTTTTTCTCGTGAGAAACTCTCTTCTTTGCGAGAGAAAGAACGAGAGACAGATCGAGATTCGATTCCCCTCCCAATTCGTTTAAATCCTGTCGCCATCTGTCATCGATCTTGTACAACAAGCTAGATCTCGGTTAAGAAATGGTAGAAATTATTGAACTTGCCTTCTTCGAGCGATCGATAAGCTGTTTACATTAGTTTGCACGGATATATTTCAATTCTCGAGATACATCATGTCGAGGATACCCAACTGCAACCAAGACACTACTACTGTCTATCGCGGTTACAACATGCTAACAAATGACTCAAGCAATAACACTCGTGTACAAAGACACCCACTGGAGTCCGACATACGGCTCGAAAATACAAGCTCTTCCACATTCCATTCGTGCTCGGTGAAACCTAGTCGCAAAAACATTATTTTTCATTACGAGCTCCCACGAAATTCCGATAATTTACTCGATCGAAAAATTCCCGATTATCTTTTCCCCTGAAATTTTGTGTGACTCGTTTCTGAGAAAGATTTCACGGATGAAGAATCACTGTGTCCACGGAAAATGTACTTACTTGCACAAGAGAATCGCGAGATTGGTCGCGAAATAATCTCGTGAGTGCGCCAGGCACGACATTTCTCCGTGACGCGGTGCATCGATTCATCAAAAGGCCGTATGAAAAGTTAGCGTGCTCTCGCGCACGCTTTGTAAACAGTGAGGATACGCGAGGTGAGTGGACCCCGGCACGAAAATGTCAAGGCGGAACGATGGGATTTTGCAACGAGCTGCAGAGACACGACCGTTGGCTTTCTTCGATTCGAGTCCCCGTTACATACTTTTACGCAAGAACGACCGACGAAAAGCGTCGAGACACCACAGCTCGCAGGAAAATAATTTGTATCTTGGCCTGGAACGTTCACTTCCTCGAGATCTAGGTGTACACTTTGACTATGGTATATACAGACAAATAGGTAAACAGGAAAATATAGCAAATAACGTTTAATGTTACGGTTAAACGAATTTCATATTGATGATAAAATATGATTTTCATAATGTACTGCATATAAATCGTAGGATGCATATGCTTTTGAATGTTTCATGTTACTTTAAAATTGATTTTTAATGGTTCTTGCAACTGCTAGCATAATATATTGTGATAGAAAAAGTAATCTGACATTTATGAACAAATGTTCGATGATCGATATAAACGTATTACGATGTTCAAAAGTTATTATAACATATGAATGAAAAATAAAAATCTTAACATTTAATATATAGCATAACATATAAAAAATTTAAAATATTTTCTTCATACGATGTGTCAACAGTGTTTCTGTTAAATGTTGAAGTTAAAAACAATAAAGGTTGCAAAATAAAGACAAGTGACGAAATAAATAACCGGTACGCACGAAATGATCGTAAAACAGTTGAAAAGAGAGCAACAGTCAATTGCCTCCGTGGCGCAATCGGCTAGCGCGTTCGGCTGTTAACCGAAAGGTTGGTGGTTCGAGCCCACCCGGGGGCGAGATTACTTTTTTTCTTTGTAACAAGAATCA